GGAACCTTGTGAGATGGAGGATAAACTAAATGACTTGTCTGGAAGCCTTCAGACTTGGGAGGACATAGAACATGTCAAAAAGTGAGAATGGGAATACATAGCCTGCGTTCAAATCTAGGCCCACCACATGTAAGCAATGTGATTTGAGCAAGTCACCTAATCTCTCTAAGACTATGTCCTTGTTTGTACAATAAGGACAACTAATTTATTAGTATTAAAGCATCAGCTCAGAATCCGGTCCGTAATAAGATTCAATAAATGCTAGATCTCTTGGTAAATTGACTACAAACTTAATCTAAGTTGAATAATCACAGACTGGCTCTTCACCCCCAAGCTTTCTCCACTGTTCTAAACTGCCTTCCACAGCCTGAGTGAACTTTCCTCTGGCTAGAGAGGCAATTACAGCAGAAATCATCAGGAAAGCCCAAGCCTAAGTATGCCCCCATGACGCCATGCCACTGTCCCTCTGTTAAGGAGCATCTGCTTCTAGGGCTCACCGTGAAAGCTCTGACCTGGGTTTCACTAAGCAAAGAGGCATTTCTTTCCAATTCCCAGATGCCCAGCCCAAGCCAGGAATAAAGTGCACAGGAAAAAAAAAGACCCACAGATGTCCTATTCAACCAGACTGGTGTTTGGAGTCTGGGGTAGAGGGATTTGGAACCAACTTTTTCTTTTCCTTTTTACTATTTTTACCATTTTTAAGTGTGCGGTTCTGTGGCGTTAAGTACATTTACTTTGTTGTGCAATCATTAACACCATCCCTCTCCAGATCATTTTTCATCTTGCAAAACTGAAACTCTGTACCCATGAAACAATAACTCTCTATTCTCTCCTCCCAGCCCTTGGCAACCACCATTCCACTTCCTGCCTCTGTAAAGTTGACTATTCAAGGTATCTTACATAAGTGGAACAATACTTTGTATTTTGTGTCTTTTTGTGACTGGTTTATTTCACTTAGCACAACATCCTCAAGGTTTGTCTGTGATATAGTCTGTGTCAAATATTCCTTCCTTTCTAAGGCTCAATAATATTCTGTCGTAAATATACACCATACTTTGCTTCTCTATTCATTTGTCCATGGACACTTCAGTTGCTTCTGCCTTACAGCTATTGTGAATAATGAATAATGCTGCTATGAAAATGGGTGTATAGATATCAGTTTGTGTGCCTACTTTCAAATCTTTTGGATGTATACCCAGAAGTGGGTTTGTTGGACCATATCATAATTCTATTTTTGATTTTTTGAGGACCTCACACTATTTTCCATGGCAGTTGTACCATTTTATAGCCCCACTATCAATGCACAACTGTTTCAATTTCTCCACATCCTTTCCAACACTTGTTATTCCCCCCGCATGTGTGTGTGTGTGTGTGTGTTGTGTGAAGTAAATAATAGCCATCCTAATGGGTGTGAAGTGATATCTCAGGGAGGTTTTGATTTGCATTTCCCTGGTGACCAGTGATGCTGAGTATCTTTTCATGTGCTTATCAGCCATTTATCCATCTTCTTTGGAGAAAAGTCTATTCAAGTCCTTGGCTCATTTTAGAATCCAGTTGTTTGTATTTTTGTTGTTGAGTTGCAGGAGTTCTTTATATAATCTAAATATTAGGCCTTAACCCCTTCCTGCACATCTTTAAGTAGCTCTTAAGTCTGACAGGTAGGGGTGCTGAACCCATAAAGTAGTGGTTCTCAACCCTCACAGAATATCAGAATCAATAAGAACCTTAAAAAACACTGATACCCAGACTCTGAGTTGTTCTGGGGTGGGATGTAAGTGTTTTAAAAATCTCCTACAGGTGGATCTAAGAAGCATCTGGAATTGAAAACCTCTGCAAAGTCTTTTGTTGCTTGGGAGGTGCTGCCCACCACCACTAGCTGCTGAGAAAGTGAGAGGGGATCATGAAAAGGGGTGGCTAGATCCCACAGGGCCCAACTCCACAGAGAAGCCCTGAGATGTCAGGCTGGCAGGAAAGCAATAGGAAGGGCAGGTCCCATCCCAACTTTGCCACCTAGCACTGCTCTTTCTCACCAACCCCATCATGAGTCATGCTGTAGATGTACCAGGAGGAAACAATCCACCACTTCCCCAGAGAAGGTGCAGGAGAGAATGAACCCTGCAGCCCTACTGTAGCTACCGGGAAGCCCAGCGAGTGGAGTGGGCATTGAGTGTGGGCGAGGAGGTCAAGTCCTGGTCTGCTGCTGCTCTGGCACCAATACTTCCTTTGGCTTATTGCCTTCCTGTGCCCCGAAGTCTCCTTGGAAGAGACTGAGCTAGTGCAGAGGTCAAAACCCATAGTGTACCTTAGATTCACCTACAGAGCATTAAAAAAAAAAACCAAAAAACCAAAAACCCTGCCTCCCCCACCCCCATCCTCACCCTGGTGATTCTGAGTCTAGTTGTTCTAGGTGTGGCCTTAGGGTGACAGTTGGAAAGCTCCTCTGTGAATCTATTATGCAGTCAGGGGTGAGGACTGCCATCCAGTGCTTCTCCAAGTTCCCTCCCTGGTGCTAACATTTTTGTGGTCCTGGTGCACCACTTCTGGACTGAGCACTCACATAGCACTCAGCATATCCCAGATGTCCCCTGCTTTGCACAGCCCGTGTGACAGACATGGAGTGTTGACTCGGCACTCATTGTGAGGCTGAGGGGACCAATTCCTCCTAGGGATTGAGAAAAAATTGATTCTGACCTCCACAACCCCAGAAGAACCCTGATCCTACAACCTCCAGAAGAACCCTGCATTCTGCATCACTTCAAAGGTAGAGGGTCCAATGGAGATAGTCATCACAGGGAAGAAAAGGCCAGTTTGTCCGTAGGCAGCCAGCTGGAATACAAGCAGGAACAGCTGATGGAGTCTCAGCTACTTTCAAACAAGGTCTTATTAAGGGCACAAAGGATGCTCCATGCAGAATAGAGATTTTGGCCCTGAGGAAGGCATTCCTCATTCTGAGCCTACATGGGTAAATTGATAGTGAGAGCTCACAGGTTGCCCCTGAAGGCCCAGTCTAATCAGTCTGTGCTTGGGGAGAGAGGAACCAACTTGCAAAGAATAAGAGCCAACAGCATGGAGACAGGCACTGGTAGTGCCTTTAGGAAGACCTGCTGACTGGTTGAGCTAGCTGGAAAATTCTATGACAGCCTGCTTTTCTTCTTTCTCTCTTGCCTCTCATTTCCATCCCATATTCTCAGCTCCCATATTTAGTTAATCATCCTCTTAACCTATCCAGTAGTAGAGAGGACTTCATCTCTGCAGATTTCTTACCCTAAATGCCTCCACTACCCATCTCTGGGTCACAGCTACTGTCCCTACACGTAGTGGGGCCAGCTGGGAGGGGATGCACATCATACCTAGCCCCAGGATAGGGAGGGTGGGCTAGGTCAGGAAGTTCCAAAGTACTCTCAATGAAAACAACTCACACCTGGGGATCTATGGGAACTTAGCCTTTCCCAGCCTCTTTGTCCTTGGTTTTGAGTCTGTAGATGGGGTCTCTCAACTTGCGGGAGTTTGTAGTTATTCTGGTAAATAATCTATGACAAATGATATAACAACTTATGTCAGCTAATGTGCATTAAGTGCCAGGCAGTGTCATGTTATTTATTGAATACTTCATTTCTCCCCCACAACAATCTGCCCTCTGTGAGTCCCACTTTCTCCTGGCTGGACTCCAGATGGAACTGAATTCCTGAGTTTCCTGATTTTCCTCTTCCCAGGTATGAGATGTTCTCTAATAGCCTACTTCAAAGGACTGAGGATAAGCATCTGCAATTACAAACTCCTGACAACTTCCTGACATCCCTTCCTTTGGCTCCAGAGGACAGGGAGAAAGCAGATGGTGGCTGAACTAGGGGAGGGTCTCAGGAGTGTGTTGGGAATTAGGGAGGAGGTTTTATTTTAGTTTGCATTTTTCTTCTGGTGGAAAACACCAAGGAGGCTGGAAGGGATAACCGGGCAGCCTGCCACTGCCATCTAGCGGAGAGAGGGAGGAAGTCAGGCTTTGGAGAGACCGGAATGTTTCCAGACATTTAATCAGCTTATACTAACTATCAGAGAGCTTTCAGGGGGTCTCCAGGGTCTCAAGATATTTAGTCTTTTCCCATAAACAGCACAGGTCTTCATAGAAGATATCCCAGATGCTGATGACGGTGACAGTTTCAAAAATTGACTCAAAACTAAGGCCAAACCGCATAGTTCTCTGCACCTCAGTTTCCATAATGTAAAATGCACAAGCTGGAGGCCCTGATGACTCTGACCTTGGAAGCTGGTGTCCTTGGACTTGACTGTGCATCAGAGTCATGTGTGAGTTGGGCTGGTTAAACCCTCAGCAGGTATAGAGCTAGGCCTGGGCATTTGCTTTGCTAACCAGTTCCCAGGGCAGGGCCAGCCTTGGAGAACCACAGTTCTAAGTAGTTTAATCTCCTTGGTATGAGAAAAAGTGAATAAACGAGCACATGGAGGGAACAAACACAGAGCACACATAAAATAGGAGCTATGGCCTGAATAATGGATTCATCAAAGGTAGCCAATGAGTGTTGGGCTTCAAAGCCTAGCAGAGCCAGGGGAGGGTCAAGACCCACTCTGCTGTGGTTGGTTTCTGGGTTTGCTTGATTCTCTGTGTCAGGGCAAGTACTTGGGGGGTCAGAGAGCCAGCAGTTGCCATGGTAGGAGAGTGGATCAGCAGAGAAGGGAGGAGTCTGGGTCATGCTTGACCACAGGGAGAAGAGGGCATTCCCAAATGCCCTGTGATACAGTGGGAAAGCTGGGAGAGATCGTGGAGGCCACCTACTTCAACCTTGCTCTTGAAGATAAGATGAATTCAGAAGGTTACACAACTTTCCCAAAGTCACAGAGCCACCAGTAGCTCTTTCTCTTCAAACTCCCAACCTACTCCCTCCACTACCAGCTCCCAGAGAAGTCCCACACAAAGTAAGTTCACAAGACAGGTCAGTTCCCTGGTGCTCTTCATGGTCCGTGCTACCCTCCCCCTCAGTTCTCCCTACCTTTCACCAATGGGAAGAAGCAGTCCATCTCCACGCTGCTTCGGGAATGGGAGATGCATAGGGCGCTGCTGGGGACCAGGCCCTCCTGAGGGGGACTCCGTTCTGTGGTGCGGACCAGACACCAGCCGGGCCGCTCACTGGGCCGCTCCAACAGCTCCACCGTCTGTCCCACCTGGATGGTCAGCTCGCTGCTGTGGCCTGCGCTGAAGTCCTGGAGGACCACGGTCAGCTCACACCCGCCAGAGAGCTTCAGCGATGGTGGTGATAGGTGAGAAGTGAGGGTGTGGGGGACGGAGGAGGAAATGTGGGAGAAGGTGGGCGAGAGCGGAGGAAGGAGGAATGGGAGGAATGAGAAGGGGAAAGATGGGATTCAGGGTGGAGAAAAGGCAGAAGATAGAAAAAAAAAGAATTGGAAATAGGAGAGAAAACACGGGGGAGAAAAGGCAATTAGCAGTGTGTCATCAGTCATTCATAAGTTCCAGCTGTAGCCAGTCTGGAGCCTGCCAGGAACCAGGGCTTCATTCTAAGTCTTTCTTGCTTCCTTAGCGTTCTTTCCATGACTCCTTTGCCAAACTTCCAGCCAATTGTGCTTCCAGCCCTTTCCTGTATGTCCCTTTCCTCCTTCTAAGGGGTCCACCCCATGCCCCTCTCCTGCCCCCACTGCCACCTCTCAGATTGCAACTGTGCTGCATGGGTTTCTAACTCACTTGCTATTCTAATGGGAATAACAGAAGAGTCGAGTTCCCTTCCTTCTAACCCCTGTGACATCCCCCATTCCCATCCCTCACTGGAGGCATTAGCCTAAAATAGGGGCTTCTGGTGCCCAAAAGAGAACGGGCCATCAACTTGGTCACTGTGGGGCAGGGAAGAGGAGGGGCGGATCTCATTTAGGAACCTATGCCTTCCCTGGTACTGGGCTCAGCCTTCCCTAGGCCTGCATGTGCACTGATCCTGGGACAGCGCCAAGAACAGGTGCAGCAACCCTGAAGGCAGGAACAAACCCTACTAGCTAGGCACTGAGACTGCTCACTTTTCCCTTGGTGGTGTGACTACCCCTTCCCTCTGGCCTCCATCTCCTGAGAACCCATTTGGTTATCAATGTAGCTCATAGAACCAAGCACAGGGCGCCTGCTTAGAGTACTAAGTACTTAGAGTCTTAAGTACTAAGAGCTGCTGCACTTAGAGTAGAGTGACAGGAAGGGAAGGAATGAGGAGGCTGAGACCCAGTTTTCTGGCCTCTTATTCTCTAAGGTTTATCCCCAAACAGTGGTGCAAAGGGAAAGTCCACACCAGATCATCTCCAAGGACTTTAGCCTGTGCACCTCTGATTAAAGCCTTCAGGGTGAAACCATCTGCACCAGCAGCCATGCTAATGAGTGCTGACGTGTTGGGTTAGCAGTTCACATGCACTCTGGGAGAGGAAGATCTGCCAAGTGGTAGGCCCAGGGAACATCACAGTGAGCAGGGCATCAGCGGCCCCACAATGAGCAAAAGCTCAGCATTCAGGGATTGTGAGAAATTTCCACTAAAGGGACTTGACTGTCACAGTGGGCCTGAAAAGGTTAAAATGAGGCTGGGCATACCTGACCAGCATACACATGAGATGGCTGGCAGTATGCAGCCCCACCAGCCACAGAGCAGGACGTCTGTGCTGAACACATCTCATGGACGGGCATGGTACTGCCACCAGGATAGTTCAGGAAGGGAATCTGTATGACAGAAGGTGGAAGCCGGAAGACACAGAAGAAGAGGAAAACATGCTGTTGGCTCCTTCACTCCATTTAACTTCTCTGGTCCTATTACATAAATGCACAGCCCCCACTCTCCAGCACCATGGTTCTCCTAGTCCCGTCTTCCCCAAGACATCTTTCAGTGCAGATTATTATGGGATGGTAATAGCTCATATATGTAGACAGCTTTACAGTTAGTAAAGTCCCTACCCCAACCAGGTAATGTGATCATTGCCATCCCACATGGCAGTAGATATCAATTCAGAAATATCCAGATCAGGGGAGTTATATACAAATTGCCTTGGGAATTATAAAATGCAGATTTCCTAGCTGCTCCTCCCTTATGTCAGCCCCAACTTCAGATTATGATGCAACAGGCCAGAGTTAGGGCCCAGGGAGGTCTATTTTTAATAAGAACATTTGCTGTGATTCTGGAAAGGCGTTCTCCAGGACATTGAGAAACATTTGCTAGATGGTTTTCCCACAGTTGCCCTGCCAGACTTGACCATGAATCCCATGCTCCTTAAACCACACAACATTAAGCAAGGTCCGTCCTTATTTTTGGGTGTGTTTGATGGAGGGGGTGGGAGGCAGTGGCCTAAGCTCCTGGTCCTTGGTGTGGCCCTACAGCATGTCTCTTCAACTCTCTGGATTGCAACCTCTCTAAGAAACACATCGTATTATTTTGATGGTATACACCACATGTGAACATACATTTCACTGAAACATAAGTTTCACCCTGATAGTCTATTTCATTGTTTTTCTCAGTCGATGATGACACCCCACTAAATAGATTCCATCTCCTACTAATGTACTTATAGAATACTGGCCTAGATGACCAGGAAAGTTCCTTCCAACCTGAAGGGTTTCTTTTTTATTTTTATTTTTTTTTTTTGGTACCAGAGATTGAACCTAGGGGTGCTTAACCACTGAACTACATCCCCAGCCGTTTTTATTTTTCATTTTGAGATACGGTCTTGCTAATTTGCTTAGGGCCTTGTTAAGTTGCTGAGGCTGGCTTTGAACTCTTGATTCTCCTGCTTCAGCCTCCCAAGCTGCTGGGATTACAGACATGAGCCATGTGCCGGGCTACCTGAAGGGTTTCTATTGCTGAGCTTCAACACCCTCTTAGAGCTTTTCCTCTGTGTCAATACCAGGTAGTTCCCGTTCTTTCCTGAGGCTGGGCATACCTGACCAGCATATACATGCCTTTCAGGGCAACCTGGTTGCAGCCAGGAATGGGTATAGCCCTTTCAGCATATTGCTGAGCAGAGCAGAGGGTACCTGAGGCTCTGGTTTCAAACTTCCCAGTGCATTATCTAGATAGGATATGAATCCTAGAGTTCATAGGCCTATGAACCCTAGAGTAAGTTGCAACCAGCCCCATGGGCAGGCTGAGAGGAGAGGGATGTAACTTGTAGGGGAGGGAATAGGAGAGGCTTTGTGTCTACAATTCAAGACCCAGTACCTGCAGAGAAGCACCACTAGATGGTGGTGTTTACCTCTTATAAATCGCCCAGACCACTAAGATGCAGGAAGGAGTGGATAGAGGATCCGTGGGCAATTTCTTTGGAGCACACACCTGATAGTTAACCATGTGCAAGCTGTAAAGCCATCCAAGAAAATAATTATGGTTAAAGTACAGGATAAATGTCCTGGTGCAGCTCACTTCACCTTTTGGCTTGGTCAAAAAGATTTACTAAGGCAGGTCTCGACCCCATGGTGCAAAGGGAATTCCAGAGGGGCAGCCAAGGGTCGGGGTATGAGAAATGGTGAGATGGTGTCAGGCTGGGCTGGCCCTGAAACAGACCCTCCTCATCTTCTGCCCAGAGTAACAAGAAGGCTTTAGGGTGCCCAGGGGATCCTGGGCTCACACTTGAGAAGCCCTGCTCAGGAATCAGGACTGGAATCCTATGGAAAGTTTCAAGAGGCTGACCAGCAGTCAGCTCACCTCTGGCGGGTTTTCCCCTCTTGACGTATTAACCACTGGCACATAGACAGGAGCTGTGAAGCCCTTGCTTCTCTCGACTTCCCCTGCTGGGTTTGTCTTCTGATCACTTGATCCCTCTGGGGTAGAACCCTTCCCAGACCAGCCCACAAGGCCCCCTGATCCCAACCTGCTCTACCTCTCCCCACATCCTGACTTACACACCAACAGTTATTTTAAATTGTCAATTCCTTGGACATCCACATAGTCTAGAGTACACACAGCCTCCTCCCTCACAGGTCTCCCCTCCCACTTCCCTGATGTGTCTTTCCTTTCCTCCTCCACCCATTCTTTCCTTATCAAGTTCATCATTTCAAAGAGCCTCTGACCCCCTCTTTGCATGCTTTAGCTACATGCCCTTCCTCTGGCTGTCTGTGGTTGTCTGCCCATAAATATTGCATGGGGTTCGACCTCCCTCTGTGACTTGTAGATTTCACCGTGTGTAAAATCTATCTTCCCAGGTAGATTTTATACACAGGCAACTTGCATACTGTCCCCACTCTTCATTGAGCTGTTATACTCATCTTAAAAAAAATGACAAGCCAGCACTCAACCTCTCATCTTCCTTCACATATTCTCAAGAGAAAAGAAGTGCTCCTGAGAAGACTCTTTCTATCCACCTAGAAGTAAAATTTCTGCTTTTCTTCTCTTAAATTAGTGAGTTTCTAATTTAAGATCACCAGTGGGTTGCCTTTTTTCTTTTCTTTTTCCTTTTATTTTTGCTCCTTCATGAAGGGAGCTATGACTCCCTGGTCCCCAGGAAGCCCTATCACACCCTGCCCTCAGGTGGTATATATTTTTACCATCTGTTATGGATGCTACATTTTCTTCTCCTCTTTCTCCTTCTCCTTCTCCTAGGTGTTAGAGATTGAGCCTAGGACCTCACACATACTAAGCAAGCACTCCACCACTGAGCTACATCCCCAGCCTTTTATTTTATTTTTGAGACAGGGTCTTACTAAATTGCTGAAGATCTCACTAAGTGTCTAAGGCCAAACTCAAACTTGTGATCTTCCTGAGTAGCTGGAATCACAGCTTGCCTGGAATGCATGAGGACCTGGGTTTTATCCCCAGCACTGGAAAGAAGTGGGGAAAAAGAAAGCTGAGCAGAGAAAAATGTCTGTGTCACTCCCAGGAAGGGGATCCAAACAGGGACTCAGAGAGTGTAGGGAATGAGAGAAGATTTCAGAAGTGCTGTATGAGGTCAGAGAAGAACCAGAAACACACACTTGACTTCATGCTGACATTCCGTGCTATCAGCTCAAATCCCAGCATTTCCCTGGGGATAGGAATAAGTTTGGTCTTAGAATCTGGAGGAGGGTAGTGTTGAATGGATGGAGAGCTAAGCATCCAGCCTAGTTAGGGACATGGACTCTGGTTCCCTTCACCATCCGTGTGCCCAGGGCAAGTAGCTTTACCTCTTTATCTCAGTTTCCTCATCTGTAGAATGAGGACAATATCAGTACTGACTTCAGAGGTTGTTATGAATATTAAATGAGATGATAATTATAAATCACCCTGGACAGTGCC